AAAAGGAAGGAAGAGGAGAGACGGAGGAGTGTGGAGAGGAAAAGCAACAGCTGGGAAGAGAAAAGGAAGGAAGAGGAGAGACGGAGGAGTGTGGATGGGAAAACCCAGGGGAATGGGAAAGAAAAAGGAAAAGAAGAGAAAAATAAGGACATGAAAAACGAGGAGAATGGGAAAGGGAAGGAAGCCAAGATGGAGGAGCAAGGGGCGGAGAAAGAGAAGGAACAGGACACGGAACAGGTCACAGAACAGGTCAAAGACAGCAGCAGCACCTCGATTAAAGTCCTGTACCCGCCGCCGCCGCCGCCGGTAAGAGACCTGGGACCGGGACCCTCGCCTCCGAGGCCAGTGTGGGCGTCCAGACCCGCCGGCTCTGTTACGTCGCCCCCGAAGTACGCAGAGAACCGGGGCTTCTGTCTGTGGGTGGGGGGATGTGCCAAGGTTCGAAGGCACCCCCGACCCCAGCTTCACCCCTCCCCGCATCCCCAGGTCCTACCCCTTGTTGTCTAGCGTCGTCGAGAGAGCAGGGATCTTATTGGTCCTAGTTGAACGCAGGGACCGGCTCTGTCCCGCGAGCGCTGCATGCCAGCGTGCGTGCGGACCGCATAGACAATGCTGAAAGCTGGAGTGAATGAGTGTATTCTCCGTCGGAAGAGACAGGGTTCCTGGACGATGGACCCGTGATGTGTTTGGGAGCTCCCGGTTCTTTTCCGTGGGCGCTGTAGTTACCGTTGGCATGGCTTTCGGAACACCTGCGGTAGAAGGGAGGGTCGAGGACTAAGTCTCAGAACCCCAGGCATTGTTTTGGTCAGAAACAACTCTGTGGCTTAGTGTTTCCGCTTCCTTGGCTGGTTCCTTGGTTCAGAGCCGTTTTCTAGTTCTGAACAGCTGGAATTATTAACGGAGACTTAATCCCTGGCCAAAAAAAAAACAAAAAACAAAACCCACAGACTCCACAGATGATGGAAGAAATAACTACTGACAAAGAACAGTGATGTTCAGAATTAGATTTGAGTATTTAGCTAGCAAAGTGGCCTTCCAAGAGCGAGGCTTCTCCATTGCATTCTGATGTCATGCGGGTCCCTGCGATTTCCCCTAATTTGAGAAACTACATCATTTCTGGTAGTTGTGGACTAGGACCAGATAAATGTGAAGGATCCTGTGGCTTGGGTTGGCTTGGCTTTTGGAGCTGGCGTTAGAACCCAGAGCTTCAGCAATAAACTCTACCCTTGAGCTTGACCATCTCAGTCCAGAGCCTGTAGACTAAACGGATAAGCAAAATGTAAACCATGAGTAGTGAGTGGTTAGGAGTAGGGGACGATTTCTAACACAATGTTTCCTAAGACTTCAGATACCAATCAAAATATGACCAACCAGTAAAAAAAAAAAACACACCCTAATTTCAGCAGTGGGGGTAGTCTTCTTAGAATTAGTAGAGTATGTTAGGGTGGCCTGGGTAGGACTCACAGTGTGAACTGCAGGGGGACAATCCACACCCTGCGGCCATCTCTTGGTGCCTCTGTTACTTCAGAGTGTGCAGTTTTAAAACTTTCAGTGCCCTGCTCCTTCTCATGGAACATTCTCAGAATGGTGCTGCTAACGCTAGAACAGGGAAGGAAGGAAGGGAGGGCTTACAATGTCCTGCTTTAGATGAGGTATGAAATACTCATGAGAATACCAGTTCCTTAGGGCCGGGAAGCTGGCTCCATGGGTGAAGTGCAGCCGGCCAGAGAACTTGCATTTGGATCCTCAGCATCCATGTAAACCCTAAGCGTCAACCTCTTGTCTATACACACACACAAACACAGAGAGAGAGAGAGATTCAGGTGAGTGCATCATAATACACTACACAAACAAAAAAATATATATATTCAAATTCATATATATTCAAATATATTCAAATTATATATATATATATATATATATATATATATATATATATATATATATATATATCCACAAAAACTCACTCCAAGAACAAAAAACTGTCTTTAAAACTGCAAGGCCTGGGCTGGAGAGATGACTCAGTGCTAAGAGCACTGGTTGCTCTTCCAGAGGTCCTGAGTTCAATTCTTAGCAACCACAGGATGGCTCATGACCAACTATAAGGAAGTCTAGTGCCCTCTTCTGGTGTGCAAGCACACATGCAAGCAAAACCCTGTATACATAATAAATAAACAAATCTTTAAAAAAAAAAAAAAAAAACAAGCAAACAGGCCTTCATAAATCATGCTTTCTACATAAGTTCCTGTTAGGCCATACCTTAAAACATCTCTCTTTGGGCTAGAGAAATAGATGGCTTAGCGGTTAAGAGCACTGGCTGTTCTTCCAGAGGACCTGGGTTCAATTCCTAGCACCCACATAGCAGCTCACAACTGTCTGTTAACCCCAGTTCCAGGGGATCCAACACCCTTACACAAATGCATCAATATAAATAAATAAGTCATTTAAAAAAATCTTTCTTTCACACAGATTTTTTTTTTTTTAAGCAGATGAGAGTGTTTCAATTCTGGTTAGGGAGATTAAGGCCCTCTGGGCTATAAGACTCAAGAAAACAAAAATCAACAGACAAAAGAGCTGAGCTAGAGATTCTAATACAGTTTAAGATCACCTTTTGAGCCAGGTGTGGTGGTATGAATCTTTAATCCTCAGAGGCAGAGGCAGGTGGATCTGTGAGTTCAAGGCCAGCCTGATGTACAAAGTGAGTTCCAGGCCACATAGGGCTACATGGTGGGATGCTGGCTCAAATCAGACAAGATCATTTTCTGGCTGGGGTCGGAAAACTTGCCTAGCATGTTCAAGGTCCTGAGTTTGATCCTCAGCGCTGTGATCAATCACTCAATACTTTTTACACTTGATCTTAGCCAAAAGGCCGAGAAGCGATCAATCAATACTTTTTAAGGTTCAAATACAGTAAGTAGAATTGTATCTGTTATTACTTTAGAATCAGTAGCCTTAATGATAGATAATTGCTAGTGTTTTGTTATTTGGGTTTTTTTTTAAGATGATTATTGTTCGCACTATAGAAGCAACATCTCTGAACACCCTGAATTATTTCTGTATTCATGCTGACCTTCCTTTCTGATCATTTGGGTTTTTGTTTGTTTGTTTGTTTGTTTGTTTGTTTGTTTTGCAAGACAGGGTCTCATTATATAACTCTGGCTGCCCTGGAACTCACTATGTAAACCTGACTGGCCTCTAACTCACAGAGTTCTAACTCTGCCTCCTGAGTGCTGGGATTAAAGGCATGAGCTCCTTTCTGATATTTGTGATGAAAATGTCTAAGGCTGGACTGTTAGTAGAAAGCTGCTTTTGGAGTTTGCTTCCAAATCCCCAGGTTAAATGTTGGGCTTTGGAACAAATACTCTTTTGTTATTGAGACAGGTTTGACGATTTCTATAAACCTCAGCCTTTCTGCTTAACCATGATACTTAAATAAAAAACACAAGAGTGAGCTGGGCAGTGGTGGTTCATGCCTTGAATCCCAGTGCTCAGGAGGTAGAGGTAGTCAGAGCTCTATGAGTTTGAGGCCAGTGAGTTCCAGGACAGCCAGAGCTGTTACACAGAGAAACCCTGTCTTAGGAGCAAACAAACAAAACATAAGAGAGGAACCTTGTCCTAATATTTTACAGCCAAATTATTCAACCGCTAAGACAAGACAACTGAGACCTTAAGTGCTTCCATGCTGCGTGGAACAGTCCATACTTGTACCATAGACAAACCACTCTGGTGCATTTGCCAACGGATTGCTGTACCCAGAGTCCCCCAAAGACCACCCAGAGACTGAATCCCATGCAAAAGCAGAGTCCTTTTACTACGAGTTCACTCAGGACTCCCGGTCCCTCTGACACGGCAGCAGAGCAGGGGAGACCCCGAGTAGCAACGGGGCAGGGTTTTTAAAGCAAGGGGGGCTTGGGGGTCTACAGACTGCATAGGAACAGACTCAGGATTGGGTTATGAGAGCGGCAATCGTGTTAGTAACTTTTAATGGACTAGGGTTAGTTTGGGGGTAACAGTTATCCATTTTGGGGCAGGCCTGGACAAGTCCCAGGCTTTGTCCTTGAGCTGCCATGGAGGCTGGCTGGCCTAGCACATACTGACTGTGGGGGCTGGCTCAGTGGCCCAGGCTCTGTCCTTGACCCGTGCACATAGCTCTAAGTTGGTGAGGGGTCCCATACAGTAAACAACTGGCTGAACCTTGAGCAGTCAGAGTACGTGCAGAAAGGGAGCTACTGCAAGGACTATGTCTTTTGTTCATGGCCCTTCCAGAAACTGCTTGCTTAACTCTCAGGAAACTGAAACTGAGGCCTGATCTCTGAGAGAAGCCTGAGCAGCCTGTTATGGTGTCTGCCTGGTTCTTTCAAGTCTTTGATAGTTCAAGATGCAAAATGGGTTCCTGAGATGCCTCAGCAGGTAGAGATGTTTGCTTTGGGGCCTGACAACCTGAATTTGATCCCCGGGACTCACACTGTAGAAGGAGAAAACCAACTCCTGAGAGTTGACCTCTGACCTCTATATGCAAGCTGAGGTGTCCCTCCTGTGCATGAGTACGCGCACACACACACACACACACACACACACACACACGCACGCACGCACGCACACACACACACATGCACACACACACATGCACGCACGGTGAAAAAGGAAGAAAAATATCTAGAAATTAGTCCTGGTGTCCATAGATCTGTGACACTACACAGCAATGTAAATTCTAAGATGTGTGTGCATGCGTGTGTGTGTGTGTGTGTGTGTGTGTGTGTGTGTGTGTGTGTGTACATATATTTCTTGTTTGATAGACTACCAAGGAATTGGATAATAGAAAAAGGACATGGAAGTAACATCACAGAAGTAGGGGTAGTTTGGGTTTAGACTGGTTAGCAATTCCATGGTTAACTAGTTAGGTGCACAGTCAGGCACACTGTTAAGGAGCCAGCAGGCGTTTACTGGTTTGTTTTTTACTTCACAGGAGAAAAGTAACCAGATCCTAGTACTAGGCCTGGATGGAGCAGGAAAGACCAGTGTCCTCCAGTCCCTAGCTTCCAACAGAGTCCAGCACAGCGTGGCACCGACCCAAGGTTTCAACGAAGTGTGCATCCACACCGAAGGCAGCCAGCTGGAGTTCCTGGAGAGTAAGCTCTGTTTCTCATTAGCGTCCATCTTAGGCCGGAAGCAGCGTTCTCTGTGGACACTGTAATCTTGAGAGATGTGACACTGGATGGGATTCTTCTACACTTTAGGATGATGTGTAATTTAACACTCAGGGGTTGGGGGTTGGGGTGGGAAGTGGGAAGTCCTCTTTCTGCTGTTTCTATTTTCTCCCTTCACTATAGTGCTGGCAATAAAGGAGGCTTAGAGGAAGGCTTTCACATGCCTTCCTGTGATCTCCTGTAATCATCCTTCGTCTTCCCTCACTGCTGGGGATACGCAGCCACTTAAGCAACTATAATGGGCGTCCTTCTCGGCAGTGAAATCGGGGGCAGCCCAAACCTCTTCTAGCTAGCTGGCAGTCCCAGAGCCCCTACTGTGTGGCAATATTGTCCCCACCTCACTAATAACCCAGTTCCCAAAGTCAGATCGGGCCTCCTGTCTTCCACGAGACTTCACTTGTCCTCATGGCCCTAAGTATCATCTAGAGACACCCAGAATTATCTGAACAGCCCAAGCAAGTCCAGATGTTTTCTGCCACCTCCGCTTGACCTCCTAATTGGCCTTTGAGACTTGCTGTGGTCACAAAACAAAACAAGCGAAGCAAGCTTGACTTATCCTGAATCTGCTCCTTTCCCTGTAGTCCTCTGGCCAGCACACGGAGGCTGCTCCTCCCCGGAGGTGCTCAAGGGGTTTCCCGGGCATCGCCCTTGACAGTCTTTATCTACAGCATCATTCTGCAAGTCAAACTCGGAGGTTTTCTCTCTCCAAAGCGTGCATCAGATGTCTACGTTTTTGTCCTTTTCAGCTCCCACGTGAGGAGAGCCTGCCCCTCTTCTCTCCCCAGGTTCCACAGTCACTGTGTAATCTCTGCTTTTGCCCAGTCTCAAAGACCACTATTTTAACACACTGTTTAAACAAAGCTTTTGCTAACTTAAAAGCTCTTGATGATAGGTTTATCCACTTCTAAGTGACTCTTAGCTCAAAGATAAAGTCATTGTGGAAAAGTTAAAAAGGACGGAGAACTGGTGCGGGAGAGATGGCTCAAGGGTTAAGAGGACCTGGGTTCAACTCCCAGCACCCACATGGTGGCTCACAGCTGTCTGTAACTTCAGTTCCAGGGGTCCAGACACCCATGCAAAAACACCAATGAATTTAAAATAAAAATAAATCATTTTTTTTAAAGATGGAGAACTGAGTCATTGTTAAAAAACAACAGTGAGGGCTGGAGAGATGGCTCAGAGGTTAAGAGCACCGACTGCTCTTCCAGAGGTCCTGAGTTCAATTCCCAGCAACCACATGGTGCCTCCCAACCATCTGTAATGAGATCTGGAGCCCTCTTCTGTGTACATAATAAATAAATGAACCTTTAAAAACAACAATAACAATGAAGCCAGACATGGTGTTACAGACTTGAAATCTGAGTACTTGAGAGGCTGAGGCAGGAGAATCATGAGCTAGGGGCTAGCCTGGATTCCGTAGTAAGATCCTATTTAAAACCAAAGTGGGGGTGGGGAAGAAAACCACTTAGAAACCAATGAAATGGGGGAAGAAAGACACAATAGCAAAGGTCAGAAAAGCCAAAAGTTAGTATATTGAAAATAGAAACAAAAATAGACCGACTTCTGGTAAAATGTATCAAGAAAATCTATAAGGCACAAATAAATGATAGGAGTGGAAAACCAGCTTGTCACCGGTTGTAATGATGGAAATGCAACATTCCCGGGGTTGTTTAAAGGGTTTTACTGGGTAGAGAGGTGACTCAGTAGAGAAATGACTCCAATAGTATGCACTGCTCTTGCAAAGAACCCGAGTTCAGTTCCCAACAGCCATATCAGACAGCTCACAAGTGCTTATTATACCTCCAGCTTCAGGGGAGCCAGTGTCCTCTTCGGGCCTGTGCACAGACACACCAACACGTGGCATCCATTCATAAAAAATAAACATTAACATTTATTTTAGAAGCCAGCATGATGGTGCATGCGATTATCCAGCACTTGAGAGGCAGAGACAGGTAGAGCTTTGTGACTTTGAGACCAGCTGGTCTGCATAGTGAATTCCAAGACAGCCAGGGCTACATAGTGAGACCCTGTGTCTATCTTATCTATCTATCTATCTATCTATCTATCTATCTATCTATCTATCTATCTAATCTATCTATCTATCTATCTATCTATCTAATCTATCTTATCTATCTATCTATCATCTATCTATGTATCTATCTTATCTATCTATCATCTATCTATCTATCTAGACACACACACACATATATTAATATTAGAGTGACATGTATTTTAGCCTATCATCTTCCATTATCTTAGTAGCCTATGCCCGTTTTTCTAAGTTATGCTGAATGCGCAAGCAGCAGCTGGCAGTTCTGCCCTGTCTTCGGGATAGGAAGACATCACTGGAGTATTTAGGCTCTCCTAAATACTGATTGTCTCTGTTTGCTTGGGACACAGTCTTTGCTATGTTGGTAGTAGGCAGGCTTCAAGTTCGCAGCCTTCATTCAGCCTCAGGATCCTGAGTGCTGGGACTACAGGCATGAACTCACTGGCCTGGCTTTTCACACTGATCCTTTGTGATTCCTAGAGGAGTGATTCACTTCTGGGGGGGGGGGCAGTTATTCCCACTGGCCAACTGTTTCCTCATGGACATGGTGACCTTGCTCTGGCCACTCAGAGGCGGCTACAGTCAAACGCAGTGGCATTTATCAGAGCGCCTGGCCAGTGTGTCCCCTAGCCCCCCTTGGTGGGTCTGCTGTGGTTTTACTTGACTAACGAGTTTGTGACTGCTTCCTCTCCCGTCCTCTGCAGTTGGTGGCAGTGAGCCATTCCGATCCTACTGGGATAAGTACCTACCCAATGGATGGCTGCTGATCTTCGTGGTGGATTCAGCTGATCACGAACGGTTACCTGAAGCCAAGAAATGCCTTCATCAGCTACTGGAACAAAACCCAAGGCTCCCTCTGGTTGTGTTTGCCAACAAACAGGTAAAAAAAAAAATCTGTGCAAATCTGGCTTTGTGGTAGAGCACCTCGCCTAGCTTTCTGTTAGTGTAACCTGCGGTCAATAGCTTCATTAGTAGCACAGAATTGTCTGGTTTTAATAGGTAGGTATTGCCGAATATTACCTATTACAATAATAAATTGTATTCAATTTATTAGGACTCCTGGATTATATACTCTCTCAATGGAAATACCATTATCTTGTGTCCTTTAAGTACTTGAATTGCCTAGACTGTTGCCTTGTGGAGAAATGGAATTGAACCATGTGTGTTGAACTTATTTCAATAAAGCAATATTGATTGTTGATTTAAATCAACGCAGTATTTGAGTGGCTTCTATGTGTTAAAGGAAGAGTTTTGGTTTTGATCAGTGACTCTTGACTGAATTCACTTGCTTGCATTCAAGGCAATAAACATCCGTGGAGGAAATTGGAAAGTGTAAGCTACTAGAAAAAAAAAATAGAATTCCTGTACAATGTAGCAATTCAACATTTTTTTGTATATGCCCCAGATAAATGAAATTAGGGAGCCAATATGTTTTTATACACTTATGTTCATGGCAGCACTATTATTATCACAATAGCCACGGGTTAGAAGTTACCAACGTGTCTGCCCCCTGGTGAGTGCATAGCAAAATGTGGTGTGTTCACACAGCATATTACTTTAGCCTTCCGAGGGAAGGAAGTTCTAGAGCATGTAACCACACTGATGAACCTGGTGGATACTATCCTAAATGAACACGCTAGCCACAGAAGGACAAAGCTGTGTGATTCTGCAAATCGAGTTTCCAGCCAGCGTCATCAAATCTGCAGAGATCCAAGTGGAACTGTGGCTGCCAAGGGTTCCAGGAGGGAAGAAGTTAGCTTAGTATAGACAGAGCTTCAGTTGAGCAAGATGAAGAGTTTGGGGGAGTTGTTGATAGTGATGGTTTAAAACACTGTAAATGCATTTAATTCTACTGAATTGTACACTAACACCGTAAATTTTGTTATGTGTACTACTATTAGGATGACGATGGCTGCACACACACACACACACACACACACACACACACACACACACACACACACTCTTTAGGTTTCTGAACACTGTAACCTAATTCTCTCAATTACTAGGTTTGCCAACCAAGAACGACACAATGCCTGCCTTTCCCTGATGTCTTCTATGGGTGGCGTGTTCACGGAAGCAAACTAAATAATTATGATTGCTCTCCCTTTATCAGGAACCTAGGCTGACATCCAAAATAGAGGCTGGCCCAGCACATTTTGACATTGTGTTAACATTTTAAAAAGAAAGGTTGATGATTTGTTTTTCTTTTCTTTTTCTTTTTTTCCATTTTTTTTTCAAGACTGGGTTTCTCCGTATAGTTTTGGTGCCTGTCCTGGATCTCGCTCTGTAGACCAGGCTGGCCTCGAACTCACAGAGATCCGCCTGCCTCTGCCTCCCCCTCCCAAGTGCTGGGATTAAAGGCATATGCTACCACCTCCCGGTCTTGTTTTTCATTTTAAGTGAAGTATCTTAAAACTACAAAGACTCTAGCCGGGCGTGGTGGCGCACGCCTTTAATCCCAGCACTCGGGAGGCAGAGCCAGGCGGATCTCTGTGAGTTCGAGGCCAGCCTGGGCTACCAAGTGAGCTCCA